TCTTTGGTAAGAATTTCTTCCCTTACTTGTGGAACATTCTTTCGTCTTCTCACTTCCCAGTCAACTTTGATCTTCAAAAATTTAAATTTAATCTCAATCGTTATCTTTTTAATTCCTGTTCTTTTATTGATCTCTCCCCTTAACTTCTTTTAACTTTTTCTCATATTCTCTTACACTCAGTAACCTTTTGCATCATAGGGGGTTTATTGCCTTGCTTGGGCTGAAGTGATTAAAATTACTGGTTTTATATCTATAAAGTATTCTATTATATATATACTAGCCGAATTACTTGCACTTTGCTGCGTGTCGCACATTTGTTTTGTAAGAAAATAATGATTGATTTTATATAATTTGTGGAGAAAAAATTATGCATTTCAATATTAATCGCTATTTTGCCGATGTGACCTCCATCTTGTGGGTTTCTCCTTCTATATTTTGGATAAGAGTCATTCCCTTTTTTAAAATTTGAATTTAATTTAAATCAAAGGGGAAAAATCAGTGGGTGTTTGTGCAAAAAAAAAAAAAAAATCTTTTGATATGTATTCGATGCAATACCCGATTGAATGAATTGATGAGCAGATTTTAACAATGATATGACAGTTGAATTGTCGAAACAAATATATACTGTAAGGCTGATTGGAGATTTCTTGCTCAACTTGACGTCCATACTGTGTAATTTTGAACTTGCCGACGTGACCTCAATCTTCAGGATTTCTCCTTCTATATTTTGGATTGGAGTCATTCCCTTGTTCAAATTTAAATTTGTTAAATTAAAGGGAAAAACATTTTCAGTGAAGGGTATATGCCCTCCGGGGACCCACATTTGATCAAAATGAAATATACTTATCCAAGTGCCCTCAGAGTCATTCCCTTGTTCATATTTAAATTTAAATTATATCAAATTTTCAGTGGGGGGGATGGCCACCCCCGTGGACTCTCTTCGATCAAAATGAAATATACTCCAAGTAGACAGTAATGTCGTGTCAGAATATATATGGTTAGGGGATATGCCTATCTTCAAAACCATAGGAGGAGTTCAATAACAGAGATTACAACTTTTATATATATATATATATATATATATATATATATATATATATATATATATATATATATATATATATATATATTTTTTAATCCAGATAAACCTGCCAAACGATGTGTGCTTGGTCAGTGGGTGAATGAGAGAGACGGGTGTTTCTGGTCTTTTTGTCGATGCCAGTTCGCGAAGTTTTACGCTCGATTATTCTTTTTCAACATCGACGTTCTGTTTGGAACGAATGAATGAGATCGCTATCGGGGAAAACAAACAAACAACTGAAAAATAAATAAATAAAAAGAAAGAAAAAAAAGAAAAAAAAAAGAAAAAATATCAACAGATGGTAACGCAAGTTAAGACATAATTAATTATCACTGATAAAATATGGATATAGAGAAAAAAAGAAAAAAAAAAAAAATAAAGTTTCTCCTGTGTCCGGATTTCATTTTATTTGCAAAATTGGCGGATCTCTGGCCAAAAAAAAAAAAAAAAAAAAAATTTTTTTTTTTTCCCAAACGTTAAGACGTAATTTTTTTAAATCATTTCTCTTCAAGCAAGGTGATAAAGCCACTAAGACGCAAAGTGTTACTGAGAATAAATGAAACTTATTGTGAGAGAAGAAACTATTCGTTGTGACCAAGTAATAGTTAAGAAATAACAAAACAAGAGGTTGCAGCTAAATAGTGTATTGAGCAGTAAATATAACAGAAGTGAGTTACACGACTTGGGAGTGTGTGTCGGTTGACCAGCGTTCAGTCTATATCACCGTTGTATTTAACAGCCTCCCTCCCATGAGGGATATATGTGGCACAAGGCCGAGTTTAACGTGGGTCATCCGAGCACGTAGGCTCGGACAAAATATCCCCGTAAAACCCGCATAAACGTTCGGGTCTGTCTACCTTTCCGGACGAAACTCTGCCCTTCGGCACAGCCTCGTCCGGGTTCCTCTCTGCCCAAGGCAGAGAGTTCGACAGGAGATGTGAACAGTCTCGGTAGAACAGTCTACATCACTGTTAATATTTAACAACCCCGCACCCCACGAGGGATGTATGTGGCACAAGGCCGAGTTTACCGTGGGTTCTCCGATCCCGTACGCTCGGCCTTAAAATATTCCCGTAGAACCCGCATAAACGGGTCCGGGTCTGTGTACCTCCCCGGACGAAACTTTGCCCTGCGGCAAAGCCTCGTCCGGGCTCCTCTCTGCTCAAGTCAGAGAGTTTGACAGTTGAACAGGCTAGAGCACTGTTCCCCTGAGGCTTACTTTCCTACTACTTTATAGTAAGTGGAAGAGTCCACAATAGCCTCAATAGAGGGAAGACACCACACAATATTAAACCAGAACTTATGGTTACATCTAGCAATTTCAGCAGGCCAGAAATTATTGCGTACGCAACTCTCAGATGCGCCAGACACACATTAACCATGCTTCAGTGGGAACGTTTTGTTATCATTTCATCCCAGGCAAGTCATTGAAACCACTAAGACGCAAAGTGTGACCGAGAGTGAAAGAAACAGAGAGGACAATAAGAGAAAACAATTCAAGAAGACCTTGCATTTAGTTATTTGTAGGCTGTAGTCGACAGGAAAGCAAGAGGTACTGAGAGAAGAAACTATTAGAATAGAACTCACGGTTATATCTAGCAATTTCAAAATTAATCTGATCAGACCTAGCTGCAAATCTTATTATTCGGTCGCATTAGCTCGGACATTAATGAGTCTATCACGCCAACCATCACGGCCCCGCATCAATGTCGGAATGTCATTAAGGTAGTCAATGTATGTGGTTGCTGTGTTTTTCTCCATGACTAGGTCTCCACAACAGTAGATTACTCACGAGTGTCCTTTAAAGAGCATTTTCAAAAATGTACTGCTGGTAATATTTTTTCCAAAAAAGTATTGCTGGTATTAAAATTATTATACTCTTATAGTGTTTTGATCCCTTTTTGTTGAGTGTGGGGTAACTATTTGCCCATAGCTGGGACCCTTACAGGTACTACCACTCTCGTACCTGAAAAGAAACAATGAAGTTATTAATAAGAAGAGTTGAAATGAATGTATGCAAGATTTCACAGTTCTAACATCAATCCTTCATAGTCAGCCTATGAACTTTTCAGCCAACCTCTTACCCGGAAAGAAACAATGCAGTTATTAATAAGAGTTGAAATAAATACATGCAAGATTTCACAGTTCTAACACCAATCCTTCATAGTCAGCCTATGAACTTTTCAGCCACTCTCGTACCTGAAAAGAAACAATGAAGTTATTAATAAGAAGAGTTGAAATGAATGTATGAAAGATTTCACAGTTCTAACATCAATCCTTCATAGTCAGCCTATTGACTTTTCAGCCAGTTTCGTACCTGAAAAGAAACAATGCAGTTATTAATAAGAAGAGTTGAAATTAATGCATGCAAGATTTCACAGTTCTGACATCACTTCTTCATAGTCAGCCTATGAACTTTTCAGCCTGTCATCGTATGTTTAGAATGCATTTTATAATTATAAGAGAAAGTAATTTATTACGGTAAAAAACAAACAAACAATATACTCAGTGCATTATTTATTGATTGCAATTGGTCTGACCATGGTGCCAATATTTCGACTTAAAGAATGCATTTTTGATTAAATATCGCCTTCTACTTAAGAGTTTTGAGCCCTGAATGAGGAAGAGAAATACATTGTTTAATCCTTCAATATCCTAATTATTTTATATAGCCTGTTTAGAGGATGGATGTCATAGAAAAGAATTGGGAGGGATAGGAAAAAAGACAACGATTTTAAAGAGCTATAAAGGATAGGAATTTGTAGACAGCCATGATCACTTACATTTTGAAGAGAAATGGCACAGAGAAATTTGACCGGTCGACTAAAATATTAGGTTGGTGCAAAAATAATGTCGTTTTTTGACATTCAACTTCAAAAGAGAAAACGACTTTTGCACCAACCTAATAACACAAGAAAAAAACAACATATAAATCGACAGCGAAGACAACGTATCATTGCCAGAACAAGGAAGTGTTGTAAACTATAATTAGTTAAACGTATTCATTACCATTTTTCGAGTAGTTTCATCTTCAATGTTAGGATCAGTGGTATCTACAAGAGTGCTCACGTTGCAACCATATGTGACCTGGTTTAAAGTGGGTTTAACGGCCATACCGTGCAAAACTTTCCAAGCCCCATCGGCACTTCCCCTTTTGGGGACGCCTCAGGCACTGGGTAATAATCCCAGCCCCCTCTCCGAGAGAAAGGTACTGTCTGGGTGAGCGAAAGTACTCTGGAACTTAGGCTAATATTCAAAGAATACAAATCCAAGCCAAAAGGTTAGCATTAGTTTAGCAAATTTATATTTATAAGGTGGAGATTCGTATATGAATACAACAGGAACAACGAAAGATACATTTGTTTTTTACGGCTTATCAACCTTTTGCAGGTTATTTAAAGCCGGAAAATATTTTTAGATTGTAAGAATGTTTTGGAGATAAAATGATTTACTGATACAAATAATACTAATTAACCCATAGCTGGGGAGAAGAAGTGGATTTATACTTTTCTAAGGGTATTTGCGCGTAAGTGAATATAAAAAACCCGACTGGAATTGGAACTCGACTCTCCGATTTCCAATTCCGAAACATCAATTACACCACCCACATATCTAAGCTTACAGCACCTGGTAATCGCAGCGGTCATCCATCTAGGATCGACGTTGCTTAACTTCGGTGATCGTACGATAACCAGTATTTCAACATGATATGGTTGTAAGCCCGGAACAACCAAAGATGCGAAACTTATCTACCAAAATCAAACAAATACAAGAATTTAAATATGTCGGAAGTGACGGAAAATCTGGCACTGAAAGCCGAAGACGCATTGAAATAGAAAAAGATGCCTTCAAAACATAAAGCAAGGTATTCAGAAATAGGAAACAAAATGAAAGGTTTGTTGATAAAATGTTTTCATACGACTGTAACGACGAAAGCAATGGCGATAACATAAAGGTAAGAAGAAGAAGGAGGAGGAGGAGGAGGTGTGGAGGAAGAGGAGAAGACTGTGGAGGAGGAGGAAGAAGAAGAAGGGGAGAGGAAGAAGAAGAAGGAGGTTGAAGAGGAAGGAGAAGAAGAAAAAGAAGAAGGAGGAGGAGGAGGAAGAGGAGGAGGAGGAAGAAGAAGAAAAAGAAGGAGGAGGAGGGGTGGAGGAAGAGAAGAAGAAGGTTGAGGAGGAAGAACGAGAAGGGGAGAGGAAGAAGAAGGAGGGGGGAGGACAAAAAGGTGGTGGAGGAGAAGAAGGTGGATGAGGAGGAGGCGGAAGCAGAAGAAGAAGAAGAAGAAGAAAAAGAAGGGGAAGGACGATGAGGAATAGAAGAAGAGGAAGAAGAAAAAGGAGGAGAGAAAGAAGAATGAGGAGGAGGAAGAAGAAAAGGAGGAGGAGGAAAAGGAGGAAGAGGAGGAAAAGGAGGAGGAGGAGGCAGAGAAGAAGAAGAAGAAGATGACGAAGAAGAAGAAGAAGAAGAAGAAGAAGAAGAAGAATTGACAGCCGGTACCACGTGTACAAGAGTGTGTTTGTTGTTGAGCTGGAGTTACATATCCGAGCGGAAGCTGTTAGTAGTGGCACCTCTTTTATTCGATTGGCCGTTTCTTTTGTTCTGACATTTTTTCTAACACGTCCATTCCTTCTGTTCCTTGTTGTTGTTTGACGTAGACTCGTGTTGACTTTGTAACGGACTCCCGAAACCAGTCTGTGTTGACATTCTAAGATGGCTGAATCAGATCCGTTCTCACATATAGGTAAAGAGGACAGAATTTGCGTAAATAGAAAATATAGGTGTATTGGTTAACCTTCTCTCCATATCACCCCCTAGAGCGCCGACGACCACAGCCCTAACGACCTCCCCTCTTTCCAACATTTTCAAGCTGTGTATCACCATTATTGATCTTGATAAACATAGTGAATTCTCTGTTGACTTAAGTGTTCATGGCTCTCCACAGCTTCCGTTTTTATATCTGTGAAATGTTACGTCTCGCTGGAAATGATACCTATATAGTTTACCTATAAGAGTTTATGAATACAAATGATGGAAATTGGACTCGTCGCCGTGGAGTAATAGCTTACCCCCCTTTATCTTTATCTCTTTCTTTTTAAGTGCCCCCCTCTTCATCCTAAAACGCCGACGACCACAGCTCGAACAGACTTCACTCTTCCCAAAATTTGCCAGCTGTGCATTTGGCATGGTTGTTCTTGTGAAACGGTTCTCTGTCAACAAGTGGTCATGAGTCTCCACATTTTCCGTTTTTTTAATATCTTGTGAAAGGCCGTGACTCCTTGGGAATGATAGAGTGGTTTCCTGTTGCCTTTCTACCCAATTGATCACCTGACCAGCTCCTTCTATAATACTAGGTTAATGTCCAACGTCTGTGCATCTGTGATGTATCTTCCAATCCACTTACTGACATTCGCAGTCCAATTATTGTCTGTACGTCTTCTCTTTTCGCCTAAGGTGGTACCTTGTTCAATGCTAGTGGAAAGATTGTTGTTTCTAATGATATATCCATACAGTTTTAACTTTCTCTTCTTGCCGATAGTTATGAGGCCTTCCAATGGGACTGTTTCTTGTCTGCTGGTATGTGGCACTGCCCCATTTTTGATACCGCTCCGAATAGAGATGCACAGAATGGTTCAGTGGCATCTTATTTCTAATACTTTACAGTAATTCTGCTTTTAATGTCCAAGATTCGTCTTGTCTTTCCATATACCATTTAGTTTTGCGACAACAAAACATAAAATTCTGCTCTAAATGTCCAAGATTAGTGAGCGTACAGAAAGATCGAGAAGTCCAACGCCCTCAAATGTCTGATCTTTGATTTCATGAAGATGTTCTTTGGAATAGCGAAAGATGTCTTCCAAACGTAAAGCAAAGTATTCAGAAATAACGCCTCACCAATTTACAGTTGAATTGGCTAGATGGAACCGTAAGTTCTATGTTAACAGTTTCTTTTCTCGCACATCTCGTTTGTGGAACTCTCTTCCAGTTCCATCCTTTTCAACCGACTTTGATCATCAAACATTTAAATTCCGTGTCAATCGTTATATACCATTTTTCTGATTACTCATCTATTGTTCACACTCCTTAATAACGTTTTCTAATTCTTCCACACCAAATAACACCTTGTGTCTTAGTGGCTTTATTGCCTTCCTTGGTAAATTTGATTTTAAAAATGTGTTATTTCCCTATTGCTTCTGTCTAGAAAGCAAAGGAAATGACCATCAAACTTTGCTTTTGTGACCTGAACATCAATGGTTTGAAACTAAGATTCGTCTTGTCTATTCACAAGCCTTTTAATTTTGACAACAAAACAAAATTCTGCCCTAAATGTCCAAGATTCGTGCGTGTACAGAAAGATGGAGAAGACCAACGTGCACCTCTGTCTGATCTTTGTTCATGAAAATGTTCTTATCATTGGAGATGACTTTTACTTTTGAGACAACAGAACATAAAATTCTGTCGTTGATGTCCATCATTTACAGATGAACAAAAAGGATTGAGACGGCTAATGCAGGCAACAGTATAGTCTTTGATTTCAGGCAGATGCTCTTGCCTTTCCAGGTGGCTTTTAGTTTTGTGACAACAGAGAATAAAATTCTTCCCTTAATCTCCAAGATTTGGAGGCGTACAGAAAGATTTACAAGGCCAACGCACGCAACTGTCTGATCTTTGATTTTAGGCAGATGTTCTTGTCATTCCAGATGGTTTTTAATTTTGGTGATAACTGCCATTGGACTGCTCTCGAACTTCTTTGCTGATAATCAAGCCAATATAATTGTAATGTCTCATAACTTTAAGTTCCTCACCAGTAAGTTATTGGGTGTGGTCTGACCTGAATAGTAGTAGGGGTCTGCCAAATGCACTTTGCCAAAAGCTATAGCAACAATTTCGGTGGTAAATCTGACTAGGTTTGCCAATAAAATTTTAGCATTTCTCCTCCTCCTCCTACTTCTACTTCTTCCTCCTCCTCCTCCTCCATCTTCTTCTTCTTTTTCCTCCTCCTCCTTCTTCCTCCTCCTCCTCCTTTCCATCTTTTTCCTCCTCCTCCTCCTTCTTCCTCCTCCTCCTCCTCTCCATCTTCTTCTTCCTCCTCCTCCTTCTACTCCTCATCCATCTTCTTCCTCCTCCTCCTCCTTCCTCCTTCTCCTTTTTGCGCCTCCTCCTTCCTCCTCCTTCTTTTTGCGCCTCCTCCTTCTTTTTTTCTCCTCCTTCTTCCTCCTCCTCCTGCTCCGTCTTCTTCCTCCTCCTCCTCCTCACTCCTCCTTCCTCCTCCTCCTTCTCCCTCCTCCTTCTCCCTCCTCCTGCTCCTCCATCTTCTTCCTCCTGCTTCTTCTTCTTCTTCCTCCTCCTCCTTCTACTCCTCCTCCATCTTCTTCTTCCTCCTTCTTCCTCCATCTTCCTCCTCCTCCTCCTTCCTACACCTCCTTCTTCTTCTTCCTCCTCCTTTTTGTGTCTCCTCCTCCTCCTTCTTCTAGTAATCGTGGTCGTGTCTTTTCAGGACGTGGGCGACCATGGCTCTCCACAATTCTCCCTCCCTTAGTAAAGTCGGCTAAGGCCCTATTACCGGTTCACCGAAGCTAATCTCTTATATCACTTCTTAGATATTTAAATTCCCATGCCTGCGCTTTGAATATTTGGCTGTCCAGAGCTTACGGCCATATCACGTTGAAACAGAGGTTCTTTTACGATCACTAATCGTACCTAATAAACATTTAGAAATGCCTGTGTCGTGTTTATAAAACTGATACAGTGTCAAATTGATCCCTGACTTTTACAGAGTTATTGGACTTACTTTTTTTGCATATGAAAACGGATTTTCCGTCCTGGTTATGACAATAAACTAAATCCGCGTCCAGGGTAAGACGATAAACAACGTCCGACAGCAAGGCCTCTGATCAGGAGGCTTTGAGGAGCATGGAACCACTTCTTCATTGCTGGTGTTCCCAGGTCCACCCTGACCCGGGGTGGTAGCACCTGTTACGGTCCCAGCTATGGGCAAATAGTTAACCCCGAAACTGAGGTAAAAAGCATTATGAAAATGTAAAACTAAGTTTTAATACCAGAAAAACTTTGTAAAAAATTATTACCAGAAATTAATTTTTGAATGAAAAACTATTACCAGCAATACGTTTTTTTTTTAAAATAATATTACCAGCTATACATTTTTGAGGAAAAAAATATTACCAGAAATAGATTTTTGACAAAACAAAAATATTACCAGGAAAAAAAAAAAAGGTCGGCATTAAATGACCCATTGAGGTTGATATGCCGTAAAAAAAAAAAAAAAAAAAAAAAAAAAAGAAAAGAAAAGAAAAGGGATCTTTTTGGTGTGGACTTATAAAAAGATTTGTCCACCTTTCAAAGGGTCATTCATAAAATAATAACTAACAAAAGATTGCAAAGCACTTACGCCGACATTGATAACATGACGGTGTTTGGCACTTACAGAACTGATCGCGATCGCAACCGCAAACGGTTCCTGGCCGCCAATGATACATACAACCTTACTTTAAACAATGAAAAGTGTTCGTACGGTTTAAAAAGAATTACCCTAGTGGGATACGTCGTAAGCCAAGAACTATGACGCCTGAAACCACTGTTAAAATTCACACAGTTATGGGCCATGCGTAATACACGCTTAGGCGATCATGTATCTTTCGATACATGATTGACGAGGCAGATTTTTTTCCCGCAGTAGGTTGCCATTTCTTTCTGCGTTAGACCAGTTGTCATCCAAGGCTATAGAGCCCAGTCTGTTCTGCTATTTAACCATAGCTGGGAGCAAAAGAAGAGGATTCATACCTTTCGCAAGGGTATTAGCACGTAAGTGAATTTCAGTAAGTTATGTGTCATGCGTGATACACGCTTAGGCGATTGTATCTTTCAATACATGACTGACGAGGCAGATTTTTTTTTCTCGCAGTAGGTTGCTATTTATTTTCGGGGTAGACCAGTTGCTATCCAAGGCTATAGAACCCGGTCTGTCCTGCTATTTACCCATAGCTGGGAGCAGAAGAAGAGGATTCATACCTTTCCCAAGGGTACTAGCACGTAAGTGAAGTTCAACCAGTATGTGCCATGCGTGATACACGCTTAGGCGATCATGTATCTTTTGATAAATGACAGACGAGGCAGATTTTTTCCCGCAGTAGGTTGTCATTTCTTTCTGCGGTAGACCAGTTGCCAACCAAGGCTATAGAACCCGGTCTGTCTTGCTATTTACCCTTAGCTGGGGTTAAAAGGAGAGGATTCATACCTTTCCCAAGGGTATTAGCATGTAAGTGAATGTAATGGATTCGACTGAACATACGCATAGGCGATCATGTATAAAGATAAATGACTGACAAGGCAGATTTTTTTACCCGCAGTAGGTTGCCATTTCTTTCTGCGGCCATCAAAGGCTATAGAACCCAGTCTGTCAGCTATTTACCCGTAGCTGGAGGGAGAAGAAGAGGATTCATACCGTTCCCAAGAGTATTAGCACGTAAGAGAATGTAATGGATTCGACTGGAATTCGAACTCGGCTCTCTGATTCCTCAATCCGAGCTGCTATCCATTACTCCACCGTGCAATTACCGATCCCTAATACTATAGTGGTTTTCTAAGCCCGGCTTAGATGTGGCACAAGGCCGAAAGTATGGGGCACCCAGCGAGGATCGAACTCACTACTCAGTCGTAATTGATCTAGTAAGACAAGCTTTCTAACC